GGGACCAGGGAGTGATTAACACCTCCTCCTTCTGACAGCTACCACCAATGACAAGCACCAAACCACTGAGAGTTTCAACAAAAAAAAGTGTGTGTGTGTGTGTGTGTGTCTCCAACCAGAGACAGTAGTAAATAGGCTGTATATTATATATTTTTAAATCATTAGAATAGACCTAATAATAAAAAATATAAAAAGCCCTGGAACTACTAACATGTCATTAAGTTTGTGCATTAAATCCCTCAAAACAAAAACGACATCATTAATCACAAACACAACTTTTGGTCCTCTTTGTCTGTCGAGCAGCACATTTTGTGTGACTTTGTACAAGAGACAGAACACACTGGTAATCACTTTAATGTTGCAGCTGGTGAAGGTGGAGCTCATTTCAAATGCTTTAAATGCTGCTGGGTGGAATAAAATATAATTAACATTTTTAACATCACAATTCATAATTAATCTGTAAATAAAATGTTTAAACATCTTTCAGGGGTAAAAAAGATGCCAGAGTGCATAAAAAAGCATCAAAATAGAGCTGGTTCATAAAAGAAAAAAAATCTTGGGGGCGGATCCTAGAAACGATCCTGTGTCCAGCCCTCCTGAACCATTTACCTCCTCCTCTAAGTTTTTGTTTTATGAATGCTATTCCACTTTCCTTTTGACAGCAGCAATAAAGCCCAGCGTCCTGAGGCTGAAACACAGAGTGAGAAAGGTAGAACAGCCTCTTTGTACTGACACCTTAGTTTGAAGCTCGACCACAACGATGCTGAAGTTTCCATGCAGCATTTATCTGTCAGTGGTGACTATAAATGTGTGTTTGTGTGTGAAAGTACAGAGTGTGTTTTGGCTCGTTGTCAACAATATGTTGACCCTGATGAAAACCACAAACCACAACCTGCTGTTCTGACAAATGTTGTGGCAGCTTTGGCCCTATAGATAGATGGGCTTCCTGTCTTTCTTTTGTCTTTCTCCAAACATCNGTGTGTTAAACACACTTTAGAAAGGAGTGTCCCCAGACTATCAGAAGGCAGAGATCTCTGATTGTCTGGTGGCGAGACTAGTAATAAACTGACTTTTCATATAGTGGTATAGTGGTTTTTTTAGCTGTTGCCATGGTCTCATAGTGATTAACATGTTGCTTCACAACAACAAGGTCTAAAGTTTTTAATTTGTGGAGATTCTCCTCCATCCATAAAGCATTTCTGTGACCCGCCACCATTGGTCGGGACGGTGTTATCAGCTGTATGACTTCACTGGTTTCAAAACATCTTTCCAAAGGACTGCAGTTGAAAATTAGCCAGCTACCTAACACTTGCACATATACAGAAATGTTGAGTAATGTGCGATATCCTTATAAATGAAATAAATGAAAATGAAATTCTCTCCTCACGATGCCATAACTCAACTATGTTTACATAGCAAATGTTTTGTTCTTGTTTCTGCTATATTAATGCTCTGAATGTTGTATACTGTACCTTTAAGGGTATTAAATGTAACTTCATGCAACTACTGAATTTTTGGTTTGTAGTTGAATTCCACCCGTTGATAGCACAACTGTAACACTCAATGGATGTGTCATTCCCGATTGAGCTGTGTCACGCATACAGTATATTAGGCTTCTCCTAAGCAACAGTTGTGATCACACTGAGCACAAGGTTTGTGATGTTACGGCTTTAATAAATGTGTGTGAGTGAAAAAACAGTGGAAAACATTTCCTTCACTTCCTCAGTGTTGTCTTAGCTATTCAGTCTCGACCAGCATTGGAAACTGAATGGGAGACCACAAGCCGTTCATGCTGATCAGTCACATTTCATGTGGTGGTATCTCTGTTGCTGCTGTAGCCCTGATGTGTAGTTACATTTTTGAGGAGGTGCACATGAGCTACAGATCAGCTACAAAACTGCCATGACCCCTTAATGCAGGACCAGAAATCAAGCTTAGGACTTTATAAAGAATAAGACTTTGGTGGTCATAGGTCAGATGTTGAGGTCCTTGTGACCTTCTGTCTCCTTTTCATTAATGCAATATCTCAAGAACGCCTTAAGGAACTTCTTCAAATTTGGCAAAAGGTCGATTTTGACTCAAAGATGAACTGACTAGATTTTGATGGTCAAGGGTCAAAGGTCAAGTTCGCTATGACCTTGCATCCAACTCATTCTCGTGAACACGATATCTCCAGAGCAGCTTGAGGGAATTTTCTCAAATTTGGCAGAGATGTCCACTCAGCGATGAACTGATTAGATTTAGGCGGCCAAAGTTCATGGTCATTGTGACCTTGTCTGTCTCATTCTTGTGACCATGATATCTCAAAAACACATTAAGGGAATTTCTTTAAATTTGATACAAATGTCCACTCGGACTAAGGAACAAACTGATTAAAATTTGCTAGCCAAAGGTCAGTGGGACCTCACAAAATATGTTTTTGGCCATAACTCAAGAATTCATATGCTAATTATGACAAGATTTCACACATTGTCTAACAGGAAAAAATAATAAAGTGATGACATTGTATATCCAAATGGTCAAAGGTCAGCTTCACTGTGACATAACAGTGTTATGCATTTTGGCCATTTTTCAAAGCTATGTCTCAGGAACAGAAGAGTAAGGAATTGATCAGATACAGAGGCTCATCTTGGGTGCCCACCTTGAAACTGTGCTGGTTGTCAAGATGTTCTGTGTGTGAAGCATCCATGTTTTTACAGACATGGATGTTAACTGTAGAAGAAACTTGACTGGTGTGCGGAGGCATATGACTGCGGAGCAGTAATTCTAGTTTAGTTCTGAATGTTAAAATTTTTAACTGTCATTAACTACCATACCTCAACAGACCTTTTCAAACTTGACAACATAAACACTCTAACTGGGTCTTTTTGTATTTCATGTTGGAATGTTTTGCAGTGTATGTGATTGAATCACCTGATTAGAAGTAAACATGGAACCAAGCTGTTGCCTGGCAGAGCAATTACAGTTAAACAGTGTATCGGCCAAATCACCATGATGTCGCACTAACAACAACAATCACTTTCAGGTAGACAACTAGTGACCGATTTCCATTGTGTGGAATTTGAAATCAGTATTTCTTTTGGTATTTTCATCAGTAATTGTAACATTTTAAGATACACAGTCAAACCTTTAGGTCCAACCAATGTGGTGTGTCTACTGTTTTTTTATGTACTGTGTTGCTTTGACAAACCAAATCTACTGGCATGGAAGCTAACCAATGTACTGCTGTAGACAGGGCCACAGCAAAACGTATTTTAGCCACTTAAAATATAAATATCAGTTTAGGTACACACAATATTTGGAATATTTTCTCTGCTTTACCTTGCACACAAACCAATGTAGGCAGAGGTAGACCAGCAACTCCAGTGTTCTGTGGAGTAAAAGTAGTGTTTTTGTCAGTGGAGTCTGGTGGCTTTGAGATAAGCTTCGGCTCCTCATCAGAAAGAGCTGTCTGACAGAGAGACAAAGTTGTGAAGATATTTTAAATAAAGCATACTCTTAAACTGATACTGATTTTTTTTTAGGTGGTACTTTTTTTTAGGTGCTAAAAAGTAACAACTTGAGGCAGCGTTTGCTCAGCGCTGTTTCATTTACAGTAATGTACTTGACTCTGGGTTTTCTAACCCAAAGCTATTGTAAACATACATTGGATTCGGTTAATTACCAGAAACAACAGTTTGAACCCCCATGGACTGCAACCACTTCAGGGAATTAAGTTTATGTTAGAGTGCCGTCCGTGTAGCATGGTGAAAACAGGTGAAGCTTGCATGTTGTCCTATTACAAATATTATATTTTTGCCTTTTTCTGTGACCACAACATTCCCAAACCTCAACTGAGTGCACCTCACAATGTATACATTTCTGCATAGTATCATTCAGTCTGGAGGTTGTTGGTTTAATTTGGACCAATCTGCAGTTGGTAATCCATAAATTCCTGAACTACAGATGTGTTGAGTGTGGGAAATGAAAGATTTCACTTGAGTTTTAATTAAATGACATTTGGGCCATGAGAAATTTACCTTTGTTTGTCACAGTAGAAAGGTTGTAAACAACATGTGTTGTGTTTACTGTAGACATCCCACTGTAAGTAGCCCACCCTGAGAACCAAACATGAGATGACAAGAGCGTGGTGCTGGTGTTGTTTCAGATGTTATGTTGGAAAGTTTTGGTTGAAATATTTCCACCGTGGTTGTACAGTAAGGAGCAAACACAATGAGAAGCCAATCAGATTGCTCTTAAATGTTCCCTCCCACTTGATATGACTACATGAAGGCGAGTCATCTTCAGATACGCTCTAATTTAAGTGGAGGCTCTTGTGGAAATAACAGAAAATGCTGATCATATTTTATATTCTGCTCGTGCTCAATATTGGACGTAAGTATTAAAGTCACATTTACTCAGGATATATATTTAAAATATATTTTGTCATCTTTATGCTGTAAATGTGTCTCTTGTTTATCATTGCTCTGTTTTTGTTTTATCTTCAGGATGCACAGACGATCACATCTTTGAGACAAAGACTGTTGGTGTTGGACAAAGTGTGACTCTAACATGCCCCCGCAACAGATTAAGTTTATCATCCTTATTTTGGATCAGGCTTGTTTCTGGAACCTTTCCTGAAATTTTAGGAGGAACAATTGCTGCTGATTTCGGAGTTGATGTGGAGACCAGTCGCATTACAGCAAAACAAGAGCCTGGAACTTTTGTTCTGCATATTACTGAAACACGTTTAAGAGATACTGCAGTCTACTACTGTATAAAAGTGACACAAAGAAAAATGACATTTTTTAAAGGAATATTTCTGAGGGTCAAAGGTAAAAACAGCAAAAACTGCAACTGCAACTGCAGATGTCTTCAAAATTAAAGGACTATGCATATTTTATAACAGTCATTTTTTTGTTACTTGTTCATATTACGTTTTTAATGTCTTTTATTACGGATATATAATTGTAACCTCAACACCCATCTTACAATGTATCATGATTGTATTGAGGAAAAACATGTTTATTATTTTTTGTTTGTCTTGTTTCCCAGGACCAGAACCTGATATCAGTGCCGTCACTCAAGACTTTCCATCTGATCCAGTCCGTCCAGGAGACTCAGTGACTCTGCAGTGTTCAGTCCTCTCTGACTCTGAGAAGAAAACATGTTCAGAAGAACACAGAGTTTATTGGTTCAGAGCTGCATCAAATGAATCTCATCCCAGTTTCATTTATGCCCAAGTAAACAGTAGTGATGGATGTGAGAGGAGTCCTGAAGCTCACTCTCCGCAGAAATGTATCTACAGCTTCTCTAAGAACGTCAGCTCCTCTGATGCCGGGACTTATTACTGTGCTGTGGCCACATGTGGAGAGATATTATTTGGAAATGGAACAAAACTGGACGTTGAAGGTAAGTGCACCCTGTTTCTATCTAATAGTTAGATAATCATTATCTATTAACAAAGTATTTCCTACGATTTCTTAACTTTAATTGTTTCTTTAATGTTTCAGATGTCAGCCGCTGTGATTCACAGAATGACAATACAGTTCTGTTTCTGGTGTGTGCTGCTTTGGCTTTAAGTCTGATTGTTATAGCCGTCCTTGTTCATGCCATCAGGACAAAATCCTGCGATTGTTCCAACAGTGAGAGACATTACTCATACATTCATCTATTGAACTGTGTTTCACACAAGATTATATCATTCAGTTCACATTTCTGCTGTTTTCTTATTCACCTTTTTATAATAATACAGCTGCTGCCACTCTGCAAACAAATGCTGCAACAGCCAGTTGTGATCAGCAAAGTCAGCAGGTGAGGATTTTAAAGAAAAAAGTTGACAGCAATGTTTATTTATTTACATGTATACACATTAAAATCTGCTCTCATTTTCAATTTTGCACTTTGTTTCCTCAGAGAAATGAGGAGTCTTTGGCTTATTGTACACCAAACTTTACCAGGAGGAAAGCTGGCAGAGGAGGGAGAAGAAATCAAAGACAAGAAGAGACCATCTACACTGATGTCAGGGCTTTTATGATACATGATTAATCTAAACGATGAATTTGCTAAATGAGGCTAATGTAATTTTTTTGCTTTAGCAGCACTGGTTTCTGCATTTCATTGAAGACATGATGTATTACATAGTATACTGTAATATATCATGACTTCAAGTAGTAGTATAGTATAATGTATTTTTGATAAACTATGCATTATATTATGCATTATACATATATACTGTCCAAATTACTTGCAAATATTACATGTTTTTGCCTTATTATGATGCTAAAATAACCACCTTTGATAACTAAACGTTTGTTGATAGCCTGTATCACTGTGAATCCCATATCTAATAATTTTGTTTCAGTTTTTATGCAGTTTATTATTACATTTTTTAAGGAGGTGGTGATGCATCTGCCTAATGTGACTTTTTGAAAGATTCATCTTGAAAGAGTTGAGAGAAGAGTCAACTGTCTCTTTTCTCTGTGATACCATATAAGGTGATAAACTTCTTCCCCAGTCCCTCAGCTTTGCATCGCTGCAGTTTAAAACGTGAACATGCCTTGTGTCATTTTTTAATAAATAAACATCCACATTTATAATGAACTCTTTACTTTATTTACCTAAAAGTGTGTGTGTGTGTGTGTGTGTGTGTGTGTGTGTGTGTGTGTGTGTGTGTTCCAAACTCCTCTTCTCTTCTGGGCCACTGTAGAAGCACTTTCTCATGTTTTATTAGCCATCGTGTTTTTACTGACTCATATCTGTGCAAAGATTATCACTAGAGAGGTGTTTTCACATTCCTCTAGTCAACGGGGTCATTTCTGCCCACTTTCCTAAAATCTGAGATTCAAACATACATCAGGCAAGTTGCATTAGGTGCATCACTAATACTAAAGTCAATCGTTGTCCAATACGGGAAGGACATACTGATGGAGGAAGAGACTTTGACACAACACTGAAAAAGTAATTTAAAACCTCCAGTGCAGAGCAGACTTGTCAGTCCAGAGAGCATAGTTGGCATTAGCATAGCAAAAGTTTTGACAGCAAACATAGTAGAGTGTGCAGTTTTTGGATGTGAACAGGCTCTGGAGCTTCCTCCCACTATCGACAGAAAACCCCGTCGTAGCTTGCCTGGCTCCAAGACCGTGGAATCTTCCCACTCCTCTGAGTTCAAGTTGACTGATTCTGGAAACAGAATATAATGAGTTGATATTTCTGTCTGATATCAGGCAACAATGAAGCAGATATTATTTTGTCTCACAACCATTAATGCTGAGTACAAGCTAACCAACAACATGAATAAAAGATGCTAACTACACTTAGCATTCTGATATTTGTTAATTTTGGTGCAAAACAGACTCCTCATCTAAGTCTGGGTGTGACTGAGGCTCAGACATGTATGTCTGAATCTCAGTGATGTTTCTTCTAATGCTAACGCTGCCAGCTTACTGCACACTGCTCTTTCATTGGTCCACCTAACGCTGTCAGCAAGCTGCGTAGGTAGTCGGGGCACAAGACGAGATCCCAAACTTCTCAGTAAGGGAGAAAGAGTAGATCTACTTCTGGCTTCTTTTCAGAGTTTTTTACTGTTATGTGGGAAAACTATGTTAAACAAAATATTAGTATTTGTACTTGAGAATGTGTCTGCAGGGGGCTACATGGTGCAATTTCTAAGCCCAAAGACATTTGAGATCTAAATATTATTTGTAGTCACCGATCACAGTTAATTAAATCGGGGCAAAGACAATGATGCCACCAAACACAATAACAAGCTAATCAGCATGCAGATTGAAATATCATGACAGATGTTGGATACATCGGGGCCAGGGGCCAAAAGTGTAAGGGTGGATCCCTGGCCCTCACCTGCAAAATGTCACTCAAATTAACACAAACTTACTCAAGAGAGTTTCATAATGACCACAAAAAGACACAAAATGACCAAAAAAAACAACAAAATTACCTCTAAGAGACACAAACAACTACAAAGAGACATAAAACCACAAAAAGATGCATTATGACAACAAAGTTGATTACAGGTCTCAACTATTTAAAATCAATCAGGTAACATCTCCCCCTCTAACTTGTAATATGGGAGTTCCACAAGGCAGCATTTTGGGCCCTCTACTTTTTCTCCTCTACATAAATGACATTCCCAACATGTGTAAATATTCTAATTGTTTTCCATATGCCGATGACATTGACATTTTTCACTCTGACCCAAACCCTGACATCTTAAATTCAAAACGATCATCTGCTCTTAACCACTGACTTGACTGGCTGAAACATGATAATTTAACTATCATTGTCAAGAAAACAGAATGTATGTATTTTCATTCCCCTAAAAAAAACATCTATGTCTGACCTTTTTCATTTTGCAAATCAAACACTAACCATCACAGAAACCTACAAATATCTTGGAGTATTCCTTGACTCACATCTCACTTATCGACACCACATTCAGAACCTAACAAAGAAGCTCAACCACGGTGCATCTATAGCAAGATCAGACCATATCTCCCCCCGGCTGTTTCAGACACATACCTACATGCAATACATGACTTTTCAAAACTATAAAAAAAATCTTGTCATGAAATTCTATTATCAGATCCTAAACAACAACTCCAATCCTACACTTACTGCTGTAAGTCACAACACAAGACAGCGAGACGTCACTAGATCAGTTTCGCAAGCACTTATTCCTGTACCACCTTACAAAAACAATTATGGTCACAATTACATTAAGATGTGGAACAAGATCCTGTACTATATCAGAGCATTAACCTCTGTTACACATTTAAAATATGCATAGAAACACTATCTGATGATAAACATACCTGCAACCACCATACCCATTTTACTTGATCCACTTCAGTCCGCTGCTTTGCAGTGTTTATGTAGCTGCTTACGTTTTGTTGTTTTGCCTCAGCTGATTGTTTCTGTTTTCATTTTGTATTGTAATGTTTTTTGTTGCATAACAGGAACCTGCTGAAAACCAACTGAGTCAGGACAGTTTTAACTGTAACACACAATGTTGCTTTTAATTCCTTTCATGTATAAAGAAAAAAATGAAATAAAATTAAAATGAAAAGACAAAACAATGATACAAAAAGAGGCTTAACAACTATTACCTGTGTGTGTCTTGCTGCTTTGTGCCTTTCTGTGCCCTGATTTTCCTCCCCTGTGCCTCACACAAGCTATATGCTCTTGCACATTTGGTTTGAAACTGCCTCAACTCTAGTTTTCTCTCTTTAACGCAGAAGAAGTTATATCTCCTCAGCAGCAAGCAGCTACAGACACCATGTCAACTGTTATTACCACATACAAACAAAAGAGTTCTTCACACAGAAATAGATTTCATCAACACAAAATATCCCCTGAAACAAAAAGTTCACACAAAGGCAAGTGTGCTAAAAAAAAAGTTTCAGAGTGACATGACTACATGGACTTTGCCCATCAAAATAAAAGGTACTTCAAGACCACTGTGGCAGGAAATGCACATTGAGTCTAAGTTCTGTGATAACCAATCAGATGCATTTGACAGTGTGACATACAGTATTGTGTTCATGTGACATCACCTCCTTAACCCACTGAAATACCAGCAAGTTTCCAAATCACAGACAGTGTCAAGATGATCCTGTTATGGGTTACACTGCTTGTTCTTCATCAAGGATGTAAGTGTGCTGTGTAGTCCTAACTACATACATGTATTTTCTCATTTGAGTATCTGCATGCAAACTAGATGTAAGGTTGCTCATGTTATTACCTTTCTGCATCATATACTAATTGTCATTTAGTGTTTCATGTGTTGTATTTTCATTTAATCCAGATGCGCTGGTTCCAGTGACCACAGTTCAACTTGGTGAACCTGTGACTTTAACTTGTGTTNAATCAGATGCATTTGACAGTGTGACATACAGTATTGTGTTCATGTGACATCACCTCCTTAACCCACTGAAATACCAGCAAGTTTCCAAATCACAGACAGTGTCAAGATGATCCTGTTATGGGTTACACTGCTTGTTCTTCATCAAGGATGTAAGTGTGCTGTGTAGTCCTAACTACATACATGTATTTTCTCATTTGAGTATCTGCATGCAAACTAGATGTACGGTTGCTCATGTTATTACCTTTCTGCATCATATACTAATTGTCATTTAGTGTTTCATGTGTTGTATTTTCATTTCATCCAGATACGTTGGTTCCAGTGACCACAGTTCAACTTGGTGAACCTGTGACTTTAACTTGTGTTTTGCCTGATGAGTTTAACGACAGACTCTACTGGTACAAGCAGAGTGCCGGGGAGACTCTGAAATTAATTGTGAGACTGCGTAAACATGTAAACCCTGTGTATGGACCAGAGTTTTCTGCCGTGAGATTGGATGTAAAGGTTTATAAGAATATTAGCAGTATAAACATTTTAAGGACGATTCAAGAAGATGAGGGAATGTATCACTGCACATTTGTGGATTGGATTGAGATTACCTGGAGTGGCACCTATTTGTCATTAAAAGGTAATTATGTGATGTGTTTATGGCAAAGTTTGGAATCACTTTAACCACTTAAAGCTGCACTGTGTTAATATTTATCAACAATTTCTGTATTTCAGTATCCTGTTAAACCTTTGTGTGTTATGCTTACATTACATTTGAACTTTTAACTATTCTTAAATGCTTTTAAGTATGTCAAAGCATGTATGGAGATGCCGAACTTTTAGCATGGTTCTGTATCACAGAGGAAACACTCAGAGGACATCAAACTATGCTGTTGTTCAGTGGCCGACAGAATCTGATCCAGTCCGTCCAGAAGCCTCGATGTCTCTCCAGTGTTCAGTCCTCTCTGACTCTGAGAATAAAATGTGTCCAGGAGATCACAGTGTGTTCTGGTTCAGAGCCGGGTCAGATAAATCTCATCCAGACATCATCTACACTGATGGAAATAGACGTGATGAATGTGACAGGAACACTGACAATCAGAAGAGTTGTGTTTATCGCTTCTCTAAGAACATCAGCTCCTCTGATGCTGGGACTTACTACTGTGCTGTGGCCACATGTGGACAGATATTATTTGGAGATGGAACTAAAGTGGAAATTGAAGGTAACTG